AACCCCCTTATCTGAGCAGGAAGAAAGGAAAGGTCTGGATTCTCCTTTTCGGGACCCACCCTTTTATTTGGTTTTCTCTCTAGCACCTCTAAGGCCCTTGATTTCCCTCCAGCTGCAGAGCTCAGATTTTTAGTAAACACAGAACCCCCAGGGGATTTGGTCAAAGATAGAGATTTCTGTCCTGCCCTTGAAATTTTACCTTTTTTGGATGGCTTGCACTTTTTACCTTGGGCATCGGGTGGTCCAGGCAAACCTTTCTTAAACATTGGTGAAAAAACCCTGAGAGGGGGAAAGGCAGCCAGGACGGAAGCTGGAGTTTGCCTCCTGGGTCACACAGTGGTCACACACTGCTCACACACTGCACAGATGAGGACCCGGTGAGCTGGGAGGGCGGAGGCTGAGGCCCCCTGACATTCCAAGGAGTGTCTGGAGAGGTGTTCACGGTGATGTTTTTATGGCATCCTGCAATCTTTCAACCTTCCCCTTGTTCTTTTCTAAAACCGGTGAGAGATCCCACCCACTAAGCCTGCTCTGGCTTTCCGAACCATGAACTAACGGAAGCAGGAAGCCCTGCTCAGAAGCCAAGTTGAGACACAAAGCAGGCTGGAGCCCTCTACCCATCCAGATGCCCCACCCAGAGCCCAAGGCGGGAGTCATTTTCCTGCTCCCTGCTTCCTCCTCCCAGGGCGAGACACACATCTGGTTAGGTCCTTGGGAAGGCCCATTACTTTGTGGACAGTGTGCCCTGAGAACAGGTGAATAAGACCCTTCTCTTCCCTCCTCCATCCCCTGTGCCAGACAGAGGGGTCCCTTTGGGTTTCATAGCACTGGCGACTAGATGTGGAGGAAACAGGATAGTGCAGGTCATGCACTAAATTGGATGAAAGGATCACGGAGCCCTTAAAAGGAGAAGACACAAATGGGCAGTTTGAATGGGGAGAGGGTCCTTGTGGACCGCCGGCAGGTCCTGTGAGGGGCCCATGAGGGTCTGGAATGGAGTCTTATGCCAATTCTAGAAATTCAGCAAATCGGGGTGGGGGTGGATTATGGGATCACTAGTAGGATAGCATAGTACAGTGGTTCCTGTAGGGTTTCCGAATAAGACACCCCAAGACGTGCCTCTGTGTCAAGCAGATTTTTTTTGAGCTAGAGGCAACTATAGCTACAGACTCAAGAGAAACTTCTTGTCTTTAACTAACAGGGGTGTGCAGCCTGTGGCTTGTGGGCCACCTGTGGCTCATGATGGCTATAAATAGAGCCCAACACAAAATTGTAAATTTACTTAAAACCATTTTTTCCTCATCAGTTTTCCTTAGCATTTGTGTATTTAATATGTGGCCCAAGACAACTCTCCTTCCAGTGTGGCCCAGAGACACCAAAAGATTGAACACCCCTGATAGAAGAACATGAATAGGGACCCTGTCCATACATAATATGCTATTATCACAGATAACTTCTTTTTTTTTCTTTTTAAATCCTCATCAGAGGATGTTTCCTGATTCCAGAGACAGAGGATGGGGGGGGGGGAGAGAGAGAGAGAGACATGGGAGAGAGAAATATCAACTGGCTGCCTCCTGCACACACCCCTGTCCGGGGATCAAACCCACAACCTATGTGCCCTGAATCAAACCTGCAACCTTTTGGTGTATGGGATGACCAACCAACTCAGCAACTGGGCCGGGGCATCACAGATAACTCCTTTAGACCTATCAGAGCAGTGGTGATCAGGATGCTCACAGAATTGGTTGAATTTGGTAACAAATTAGATGAAAAAATGAAGGCTATGCTAAGTGAAATGAAGGAAAATGTACAGGGAACCAATAGTGATGGGAAGGAAACTGAGACTCAAATCAATGATGTGGACCAGAAGGAAGAAACAACCAAACAGAAAAGAATGAAGAAACAGGAATTCAAAAAAATGAGGAGAGGCTTAGGAACCTTCAGGACATCTTTAAATGTTCCAACATCCGAATTATAGGGGTACCAGAAGGGGAAGAGGAACAGCCACGAGTGGAAGTTATTTGAACAAATAATAAAGGAGCACATCCCCAATCTGGTAAAGGAATCAACTTCCAGGAAGTTGAGGAAGCTCAGAGAATCCCAAAGAAGTTGGACCCAAGGAAGAACACACCAAGGCACATCATAATTATATTAGCCAAGATTAAAATGAAGGAGAGAATCCTAGAAGCAGTAAGAGATAAGGGGACAGTCACCTACAAAGGAGTTCCCATCAGACTGTCAGCTGATTTCTCAAAAGAGACCTTACAGGCAAGAAGGGGCTGGAAAGAAGTATTCCAAGTCATGAAATCCAAAGACCTACAACCAAGATTGATCTATCCAGCAAAGCTTTCATTTAGAATGGAAGGACAGATAAAGTGCTTCTCAGATAAGGTCAAGTTGAAGGAGTTCATCATCACCAAGCCTCATTATATGAAATGTTAAAGGGAGTTATCTAAGAAAAAGAAGATAAATAACATGTATAGTAAAATGACAGCAAACTCACAATTATTAACAACCACACCTAAAATAAAAACAAACTAAGGAAACAACCAAAACATGAACAGAACCATAGAAATGAAGATCACATGGAAGGTTAGCAACAGGGGAGTGGGAGGAGGAGAAGGGGGGGAAAAGGTACAGAGAATAAGTAGCATAGATGGTAGGTAGAAAATAGGGGGAGGGTGAGAATAGTATGAAAAATGTAGAAGCTAAAGAACTTATGACACATGGACATAAACTAAAGCAGGGGAATGTGGGTGGGAGGGGTGTACAGGGTAGAGGGGAATGAAGGGGGAGTGAATGGGATAACTGTAATAGCATAATCAATAAAATATATTTTAAAAATTCACTGAGGCCAAACGCGGCCTCTTATACCAGCTGGTACGCTCACATAGATGGTTTCCTATAACGCTCACCTGGCAGGGGAAGCCTGTACTATTAATGCAGGGGGCTCATCCTCCAGAAGATAATTCTGGTTTTTGTGTTTTTAGAACACCCCTCATATGGTGTCATGTCATCTGCACATAGTGAGTTTTCCTTTCTGATTTGGATGCATGTTACTTCTTTTTCTTGCCTTGTTTTTCTGACTAGGACTTCTAATACTATACTGAATAGAAGTGGTGAAAGTGGGCGCCATTGTCTCGTTCCTGATCTTAGAGAAAAGGCTCTCAGTATTTCACTGTTGAATATAATGTTCACTACGTATTTGTCATGCATGGGCTTTATTATATTGTGGTATATTCCCTCTACCCATTTCATCAAGAGGTAAAACATTCTGTATCCTAAATAATGCATCCAGAAAAGATCGACAATCGAGTATGTGAGCTCAGATTCTATTTCTATAGCAGAATCATATATATATATGTATGTATACATACATATATATATATGTGATTTGCTTTACATATTCCAAAAAGGCCATTAATTGGGATCCTCAGGATGTCATGGCTAATTAAGTCAAACCAAGGATTTTAAGGCATTTCTTACTGTAATGTAGCTATACAAAGTAAGTCCATCATAAAGTCCTCATTTTAAACAGCAGAGTAAGTTTACATAAAATTTCATACCTGTGCCTCTCCTTCCTGTCTGGTATGTAGGTGCTTTCATTTGCAAAAGATAAATCCATGCCAAGAATTCAACTGGACACCACCTAAAAGTACTTTAACCTTAGCATGTACCTTGAGCGTGGGAAACCAGCTTTCCATGGCAATCTTGCATGGCCAATCCACACAAATTGCACATTTATAAACATGGTCTTTCTCTAGAGGTGGAATAGGGTTAGTAGAATTCAGGAGCAGGTAGAGCTTGAGAAACATATTGTAAACCTTCTATGGAACACAAACTATCAAACGTAACGTTGGCCAAATTGTTTTCAGAAGCTGTGCCGAAGATGTTGTAAAAATAAGCATCGCAGGGAGTGTGAGACATTGGTCTATGGAATCAGGATCCATCACCAAGGTCAGAGAATGGACATTTTTTGCTAAGTTTGAGTGAGTAGAGGATCTCATAAAAATGCTTTCGGGGAAAACTCTGAATTTGAATATGAAATTATGCTGCACACGTGGTAACAATAGTTGCCACACGCTGAGTGCTTTGCACGTGGGCTGGAGCACCATGAGTTAGGTATCTCTCCATTTTACAGAGAAGAAAACTGAGACTGGTGTGCACAAGCAAGTACACCGCAGAGTTTGGATTACATTTTTGAAACTGACTGAAAAACTCAAGTCCTCTTATAGCATCCCCAGTGCTTCTCTGTATCTTCAGAGAAAAGTCTCTAAGTCATTCTAGTTTTATTTTCTAGTGGTTAAGGGTCTCTCCACTCAGGAGGCTAAACATAACTGGAAACTCTCTAAAGCTGTATTACACATTTCCTTGCCTCCTTTGCTGCGCTGAATCAGCTGACATTTTCCTGAAAAGTCATCCTTTCACACGGGCGATACCATCGATGTGATGATGCTCCCAGGGTCTGAGGGTGTGGGTGAGGGTGGGGGATGGGGGCTACTGGCCCTCCCATTGTTGGTGCTCTTCCAGTTTGTTTGTCACAGCATGTTTAGTTGCCCCCCTGGTGGCTGTTCTTGGGCTTGTACTCCGTTCACTGCCTTAATGGGAATCTCCCAGGGCCTTAGGAACTAAATAATTAAACCAGTTACAAATGCATGTAAATAGGCTGGAATGGCTAGGCCATAAGGGAAGCATTAAGAGCACAGCTTCCCTGACTTCCACTTTCTATTGTGGGGCCCTGATTAAACACCTCTTAAGTTTTGAGTTGTGTCCCTAACTTCCATTGTCATGTTACAGCAGCCTGGTTAAATGCCTGCGTTTTATGTTGTGTCCAGACAGATGAATGAGTGCACCAGTTAACCGAGTTCTAAGTGAGGTAGGCACAACGGCACTTTCACTGAAATAAGACTAAGACACACATACAGACGATTTTGTATTGATTCTGACCTATCACACTTAGACTTCCTGCCAGACTATACAATAATTTATGTCTGAAGAAATATTTTTTAAAAGATTTTATTTACTTATTTTTAGAGAGAGGGGAAGGGTGGGAGAAAGGGAGGGAGAGAAACATGAATGTGTGGTTGCTTCTGGCATGCCCCCTACTGGGGACCTGGTCTGCAACCCAAGTCATGTGCCCTGACAAGGAATCAAACCAGTGACCCTCTAGTTCACAGGCCAGCACTCAAGCCACTGAGCCACACCAGGCAGGGCTGAAAAGAAATATTTTAAGTACTGATTGAACATTTGTATATGTTGTTTTATTGTTAATTTTTTTTCTATAATGGACTGTTTTCCATTTACCCACTGCAAAACTCTTTGCTACACATTTCCATGGACTTGTAACAAATCTTTATTAAGAGAATAATAGATGCGACTTTGGATGAGTTCCGAGGGTGCTAAAATGAGGCCATATGGTGTAGTAGGCTGTCTTAGTCCATGCAGGCTGCTATAACAAAACACTATAAACTGGTGGTTTGTGAAGAGCAGGAATTTATTGCTCACAGTTGTGGAGGCTGGGAAGTCAAAAACCAAGGTCCCAGCCGGTTCAGTGTCTGGCAAAGGCCCACTTCCTGGTCCAGGGACCGCTGGTCCTCATACAGTAAAGGGGAGAGGGAGCTAGCTCTCTGGGGCTTCTTTCACAGGGGATTAATTCCATTCATGGGGGCTCACCCCTTAAGACCTAATCACCTCTCAAAGGCCCCACCCTCTCATACCACCACTTTGGGGATGAGGATTCAACATATGAATTTTAGGGGATCACAAACACTCAGTCTGTAGCATTGGTTAGCACAGTACGGGCACAATAAAGGATGGCTATTATTTGAACATGAATTCAGTAGACATTCAAGTAGTGCTAATAACCATATATTTTATTCTATAGCTTAAAAAACTGTTCATTGTCATCCCCTCAACTACCAGAGGAAATTAAAGCTGGCCTGTTAGGCTGCCTAACAGAAGTAGTGAGTGTCTGAATGGGGAATCGACTATACTCTATCCAGTTCAACTCTTTCATCTAACACATGGGAGGACAGAGGTCCAGCGAGTTCGAGAAACTTGCCCTGAGACAGACAGCACTCTGGGCTCAGCCAAGTGCAAACCAGGGTTCTTTGCATGAACAGAAACTTCCATTTGTGTGGCCCTTCACAATTCATGAGGAGCCCCCATGAGCTTATAGAGATGGCTTTCTTCCCCCCTCTGGTCTTTGGGTGATTTTTTGCATTCTCAGATCTGCGTTGCAGCAGCTGATTCTATACTGACCCTAAAATTTAAAAAAGAGATTTAAATACACACATTTACACATACTTAAATGTGTGTATGCACATATATGTATGTATGTATGGGAGAAAGAGCACCGTATCTTTGAGTCACCCCTTGCAGGCTACACACACCCTGGCAGACACAGAGCACAAAGAAGAACAGTCTTCAGTTTGAGAATTCCCAAGTTGCCACCGACACTTCAACAGACAGGCTTAGAGTGTTTATGTTTTCAAGAGGCGTGGGAACATCTCTCGGCTCCTGCTTAATGAGTCTCATTTTGAGACAAAATGGTGAGACCAGCCACTCTTCATGCAGTTTTCCTGCAAGTTCTTCAAAGAATGAATAGTGAGCCCATTTATTTCTGCTCTCAGAGTTTTTCCTTCTTATTATTTTCTTTGTTGCAAGGTTATATTTAACGGCATGAGTTTATAGGTATTATAAAGATACGGGATATTGTGTGAGAGAGGAACTGAGACAATAAATCCCAAATCACTATGACAATTGAAAATCCGAAGTCAGGGACAGAGTGGGAGGTGAGGCATTCTCTCCCCAGAGCTTTCACACACAAGGCCACTGTCCTCAAAGCAGGAATGGGACCTAGGCATTCAGCTGCAGAAGGAAGCTGGGGTCTTCGCTTCATAGCTTCCGGTGTCTTTAGAATTGGGCTGGGCATCAAGTGTCTTTTCCAGAATAGGCCAGAGAAGATAAGTCCAATTTGGTTTTCAAGGCTTTAGTCATCTCTGTGGCCAGCAGGTCATGGAGGGACACGCCGTCGTGGGAGTACACCCAGTTTTTCCCAGTCCAGTTGTAGCGCTTCGGTCCACTGCAAGACAAAACACACGCACGGTCCGTCCGGAGGACGGCTGTTTAGGAGAAAGACTGGTCCACGGACATTGCCACCAAAAGACTGGAGTGACTCCAGAAAGTAATACTCAGTAAGGTATATATTTAACTTCTTGTCTTAGGGTCTTTCTATTTAAGAACAGTTACACAGTTCACCTTCTGGAATGATTCAGAGAATAATTCTCAAGACCTCAAAACATCCGAACTCTACTGATGAGTCTTGGTACCGCACTCCCGTCTGTTGCTTTTCCTGACTCATACGTGATACCTGCTACATCAGAGCAGTGCTGTGGAAAGTATGATCATTCTTATACCATTGAGATGTCTGTCTCTTGCACATATTGTCATTTATGTATATTCATAATGTTGTACAACCACTAGTCTACCTAGCTCCAGAACATCTCATCACTGCAAAAGTTAACTGTGTACCCACTGAGCAGTTTCCTGTTCCCTCCTCTCCCCCTGTTCCCTCTCAGCCCCTGACAACCACCTATATAATTAAAAATAATTTTTTAAAATTCAACTTTCCCTGCAAAATCCCTGCAAGATTGATGAGCTAGTTCCATCACCTCAAGCTCATCACGGGAACGAGAGTGGTGCATGCCCCTCGTGCTGGGACTGGTGTGCCATGTGGACACGGGTGGAGTTAGGCTTGGCACGTCTTGTCGTTCCAATTGTACACTACTTGTGCCCATTAGTTTCACCTCCTCTCAGCCTGGCAGAGGGGTGGATGTGCCAGCAGATAACGAGGTAACCAATGAGCACTTGAAGGAGGTGGGTGCAGAGGACACTGGGAGCCCACGAGAAGGGGCCCCTGTGGGAGATTCTCCAAAGTCCAAGAGTGGGAGGAGTTTGCCAGGATGGAGGGAAGCTTGGGAGTACGTCTCCTGGGTACGAAAACATCAAGAATTTGCCCTGGCTGCTGCAGTTCAGTGGACTGGGCACCAGTCTGCGAACTGAAAAGTTGCCAGTTTGATTATGGTCAGGGAGATGCCTGGGTCGCAGGCCAGGTCCCCAGCTGGGCATGTGAGAGAGGAAACCAATTGACATTTCTCCCATACATCAGTATTTCTCTCCCTCTTTCTCCTTCTCTTCCCCTCTCTCTGCAAATAAAAATGAATACATTCTTAAAGCAAAACAAGCAAACAAAAAAAAATCAAGGATTTCTGAATTATCAACCAAACACTGGGGTCTGAACATTTTCCTAACAATGGAGACAAAAGGGACAAACCAGGAGGGAGGCCTTTGCTTCACGTGCAGACTGCAGAACACAAACCTCCCAGGCCACACAGAAAAGGCTAACGATCCAGACCAAACCCAGAGCACGTCCCCTCGGCCCTGGGCTCTGATGTGCTACCAGCACGCCCGGCAGAGCGTGCAGTGCAGAAGCGCCGGCCCCCCACTGTCCCAGGCCCTCCCGCCTGGCCTGGCCGCCCGGGGGTGCATCCAGGCTCCTCCTTCATTCCACCCTACGGCCTCCCCAAGGGGGGCAAGGTGGCCGGGAGAGACCACTCTCTCCACAGGACTGGAAAAGCTGTTGACTGAGAAAAGAAACAACTGCTCCCCCACACCAAATTCTCACAAATGTAGTCCCATAAAAGATGAATTTGGACCAATGTGAAAAACAGAGTGGGAAATAACATTTTCATAAGGACATAGTATCTGTGATAGAAAATGTCTCCTTGGCAGATTTTCTCTCCGGATTCCCATTATAAATTACAGACTTAAAAAAAGGAATTTATTAGTATCTAGAAGTAAATGCTTCTACACATGCCCACGGCAGGATCAGACTGCTGGTGGGTGTGCCCAAACACGACACGGACTTCTCCAGTCTCCAAACACAACAGGGAATTCTTTCAGTGCAGCCGTCACGGTTGGTTCTGGTGCCCTGCCCAGCACTCACAAAGCCACTGGTCTGCAAAGCTGACGGCCGGGCCTGAGCGGACCCACCCAGCTTCTCCTGCCGGTTCCCCTGGAGATGAAGGGTCAGCATGTCCTACACTCAACCATGGCCACGGCGGGGGTTGGGGCACTGTTTGAGGGCAAAGAGAACCGGCCCACACAGGGTAAAATGCCTCCGCTTCAAATAAACTGAGTCTAAAAAGCAATCACTTTGTGAGTAAGGACCTTGCTAGTTGTTCTGTTCAATTGTAACACAGTCCCTAGTGAGGCTACAATGAAGGAGGCATAATGCTTAATTGACAAATATAATATTAACCGCCTAAAAATGAGATCAAGGTTGGGGCAGGGGAAGTTAACTTTAAAAAAAATGCAAACCCAATTAAGCTTTCAAAAAATTCTGTGTCTAGTTATATTTGGGCCTTTCCCAATTCAGTCAATAGGTTCTCTTTGAGATGTGCTAATGAATGACCCACAAAGGCTGGTCCACGAGCGCTTTGTGGGCAGCTCCCTTCTACGGCCTTACAACCACTTCAACAGCAGCCGGGGGATGAAGGACCCCCTATCCCCGCGTGTTCTCAGGCCTTGGGATGCAGCACAGCCATCTCCAACATGATTTTTTATTCCACTAGATGGAAAGCACATCACTGGAAAAGCCATGAGAGATTAAATGCCTGGAATAGCAGCTTAAAACTCCCTCCCACCTCCACAGAGAGCACAGCCCAATTCTGCAAATGGAATTCAATTAACCTTTAACTAAGATGCTCAAAACAAACTAGAGGTCAAACTTTAACTTGCTTTGAAGACAAAGTGCAGCTTGTTCAGGTGCTGCAATATGAAAAGCAGCTTTTTAAAAGGCAGGGCAATGATTTAATAGAGAAAAACTGTCTAGGCTGGGTTCTGAAAAGTTACTAACTTTTCACTTCAGAGCTTGTTAGCAGCCCAGTATCTGCTTGTAGCAGCCAAAGGATCACTAGACAGAAGTTACATAACCAAATTAAATTTTGCTGCGGAGAATGAGACGTAGGGGCAAGCATCAAGAAAGATCCATTTGTACAGACACTGATATCTGAGGGGGACAGTTCTTCAATGGTCCATAATGTCATGTTTCAAAGAAGCTTAACAATGAGAGATTTTGACCTCGGAACATACCTGGATGGCGAGGACAACCAGATTTGCTTGTTTGGTGTCTGCTTGTTGATCACGTAGGTTCCCAGATCTCCACCCAGTTTAATTGTTAAAACACCGCTCTAGGGGATCAGGGTGGGAGAAAAAGCATGAGGAAAATAAGATAGTTATCACTTTGTCATAATTGCTTCATGTTTCGTTACATGTCAACTCTATACCTTCATACAAGTACACAATATCCATCATAAAGAAATGTCTTCAGTTTAGTCTTTAGAAACAGATCTTGCTGAAAGAACATTGCTCTCAGGAGACTACGGTTAATCACACTGCATATCTCATGCTGCTTCTCATTCCCCATGAGTACAGCAAGGCAAAAAGAACCATTCTTTCCCTCTCGAGACGAGGAAACAGAGGCACACAGTGCTGAGGGGCTTGTCCGCGGTATCACAGCCGGCACACGGGAAGACCTGCATCCTGACCCGCTGCCTCGTCTGCCCACTGCGGGCCAGAAACACCAGAGGGTGTTAAAGAAAACTCAGACACCAACTCTCTTGGAGTGCCATGGCCCAAACATGGGACAGGACAAGTTCACTACCAAAAAATGGAAAAAAGGTAGGAAAGAAGGAAGTAATCAAACCGTCTGCTTTGCATGTCTCAGCTGAGCAGCAGCCTCAGCTCTGCTGGTGGAAGGCAGACACTCCACACTAGGGTTTCCGGTTCCGGACCCTCCCCACACATCTCACAAGCTTCTCAGACACTCCTTTCCAGCTTTATTTTCCTCTACAGGAGCCAAAAATTCTTCAAAAGACCAGTTGGTCCAACTTTGCTGGATAAATGAATAAATGCTCATTTAAATTTGAAAACAGTCTTTCAACAAAGGAGCCCTTTAGTCCCAAGGCCTGAGGTTTCTTTAGAATGCACAGGATAGATATTAAAGAAACAGCTACTCCACCAAGTGCCCTTGAACGGTGCTGGTGGACAGAGGAACTGCTTGCTGTCCCCATCTCTGCATCACCCATGGAGATAAACAGTGTCCTTTCTCTGTGCCTTCTAGAATCTGTCCAACTAAGGGGCCCTGAATGGTTCTTATATTCTGTGTTTGGTTCACAAACACGAAGAGCTATTGAAAAGATGGAGAAAGTACCAATAATAATATAACTTGATAGGCATGAAATGGAAAGGACGCTGTTGAACTATTTTTAATAACTTTTCTGATTAAAAAAAGCAGGGAAAATATAGCGACATTGGGAATACAGGTAATATAAATAATGTGTGCCCTCCACTACTGTAAGCACCTTGAGAAGAGATGTGTCTGTTCATTCTAGCATTTTCCGTGTCTAGCACATCCGTTCTTCAGGTGAAATGCTGGATGGATAAAAACATCCATTTGGGGTTGAATTAGCAGAGTGGATGACTGGGTACTGTGATAACTTGTATGAAAGTTGATGGCAAGGTTATACAAGGCAGAAATTCTCCACACTCACGCCCCCCACCCCCGCTTCCTGTTCATTGCATGTAATTCGATTTTTTCCCCAATGGAGCTGGAAGGTGTTTCCAAAGGAAAGTGTCGAGAGCAGGAAGGAAATGAGCTGCCTTACTGGTTCACCAGGAGTTCTTACTGCTTTCAGAACCGTCTGTAATTGACCAGATGACAAGGGCGTTTGTTCATTACTGCTATTCCTCACCGCAGCAATCTGAAGCTATTTTGGGAGTGTGGGCAGACTTAAATGCAGGGTGTGAGTGGTGGTGGTAAGAGGATTGGAGACAGCCAAAACATTTAGCAGCTGCTGAGTCATGGGCACTAATCAATCAGAACAGACCCTGGCCACAGCTGCTGAGGTTTATTAATTTCCACCAGTCAGTATCAGCAGTACACAGGTGGAAGCAAAAAATAGCAATCTCTGTTGTCAACAACTGATTTATAGAAATAGACATACATCGAGTAGCTCGTTAAGTTAGGGAATTCATGTATTGCATTGGCCAAAAAGTTACATTTTTTCTGTACAAAGGCTCTAACAGTGCCTACTAGAATGAAGTCTTGAAGTCTTTAACTTCATTTGAAACAATTGTTAGATTGTATTGTGACAGCTGTCATATTAGTGTGCATTTCAAAAAACATCGAAATTGGTAAATTTTTGTGTAGCCATTTTACTATTGAAGATGGAAAAAGATACACAATATTTTTGGCGTATTACGCTTTATTATTTCAAGAAAAGGTAAAAATGCAACTGAAAACACAGGAAGATTGTGCAGTGTATGGAGAAGGTGCTGTGACTGACTGAATGTGTCAAAAGCAGTTTGCGAAGTTTCTTGGTACTATTGACATTCTGGCCAAATCTTTGCTGTGGGGCTGTCTTATGCTTTGGAAGATGTTTAGCATCACCCCTGGCCTCTACCCAATAGGAGCCAATAGGAGGAGAGGGCTGACATACTCAAAATATTCAAATCCGTAAAGTTATTGGTGAAAATAAAAAACATGTCTTTTATTTTACGAAGAAAAAGGTAACAGACTTTTGGGCCAACCCAATATATATGGTTTCCCACGCTGCTAAAACAGATACCATCTTACCCATAATGAGTAAGAATAATAAATAAGAAGGAAGTGTCCATAATCTGAGACTAGAGTCATCTTCGGGTCCTCAAACAGCCTCCACCCTAACGCTGAAACTACGCAGACCGGTGTGTGAAGTTTTCTCAGGAGAGGGTGGAGAGCAGTCAGATTCTTATAGGGGTTCCTGACCTCAAACGGTTAAGAAACCTGTGCTCTACAGCAGTAATGCACCAACAACACAGTTCATGAAGAACAAGGCAACAAGCAAATTCTCATTTAAAAAAAAAAAAGAACAAATGCATTCTTGGGTGTATCTTGGGTGTTAGACAACTTGGTCTGCTTTCTTGGGTATATCTGGACCAGAAAAGTTGGTCAATAGCAAGTTAGCAAAGTATCTATAAACGCTGAGTAGCATCAATGAACGTGTGTTTTAGAAAAATTACGTGGGCCCCATTTCACTTACATAGTGACTCAACATTTATTACTGGGCAGTGTTCCTCCAGGCGCTGGGGTACCGAGAATGAACAGTGTCCCGACTGCCGAGGAACTGTCTAGCCATGGGAACTGATGTGTAAACAGACAATGAGCATCCAGGGTGGTCAGTGGTCCACGGAGTCATCCTCAGAGTACTGGGTAAGGAAGGACCCATGGTGTCTGCCTGGAACACCCAGGAGGGCTTCACGGAGGAGCTGACATCCAACTGGGCCTTTAGGGGTTTAGAACAGGCCACCCCCAAATGTACCATTTTGGCATGTAAATTGTTTTAAACTGAAGGCAACTGACCCTGTAGTCCCAAGAAACTTTTACTTTTCCCTTAAATAATTTACATTTGGGGCTGTGCCCATAATAGAAGTTATTACCAGAAGTAACTTTTTATGACCTAGCTATATAGCAGGGCAAACTCCTAATTACTAAACATTTGCTCTTATCATCCTGCAATGACTTTCCTTCCCTCTGAAGCTCCAAGGTGCCTTGCCTCATTTTAGCTCAGAGAGCATATATGCCTCATTTTAACTGTCTGTCCCTAAATCTGTTATGTATGTGGGGTCTCTGACTCGCTCATATGTGTGGGGATCCCATGCATATGTATGTAATTAAATTTGGTTATCCTCTTGTTAATCTGTTTTCTGTAGATTTATTAGACCAGCTGAAAGAACCTAGGAGGGCAGGGTAAAATTTCTTTCTCTGCCAGAACCCGACAGCAGGGAGAGACTGTATTCCAAGAAAGCTCAAGCAATAGTGTTCAGGTGTTCCATTGCCTATAATGTACTTCAACTGATTTGTCTTATATGTAAAATATGTACATTAGCCCCTGAAAGACCAATCAGATTTTCACACTCTAGGGTAGTCAGCATTTCAAAGTATTTAATCAGAAGTCCAAACTACAGAGGCGGCTACTCCATTCCTTTAGTTTGCTACATCTACACCACCGAATTTCCTGATTAGCATATGATTTGTTAGAAGTAATTTTTTTTGCTGGTGAGGAGAATGATACTCAGGTACATAGATTGGCTGGAAAGAACAGGGGCCTTTTCCCTTGTAGGAGCTGGTTACACTCAGTCACAGGATCTGGGACGCCCAGCAGCTGAGTCACTCTTGAAAGAGACACAGAAGGGAGGACTGAATAAGGTCCTGTGACCACCACTGAGCAGAAGCTTTTGTTGTTGGACTCAATGAGGTCAACAGGATCCAGCTGCTAGAATACTGGCACATTTGCTTCTAATGAAACATTTATGCAAAGTACTTGGACCAAGGTGGAGCTTCACTGATCCTACAAGAACAGGGGGTGTGACTGTTTTTGTGATATATTAATAAGTGTTTGCACGTGTGTCAGAATTCAGCCCGGGACTTGATTTTCATCCAGCTACAGCCAGAGGAGGAGGGGACCTGTGACTTCCCACAGATGGTTGGGTTGGCCAGGCCGGTGTGTAACGGTTCCCAGGCGGCCCTGCCCCCTGAGGCGTCTGCACAGGCACTTCCACAACCCTGCCTGGGCACTGCTGCACCGTCTGCTGCTGACAGTAGTCATTAAAACCACCTGGAAGGCATTCATTCCTTTCTTGCCCTGTTGCCTCTACGTTTACCAAGTCCCGCACTCTCCTTACAACCAAGCTTGACACCTCGGAGACTCGGCTGGCTGCTCCGTATGAGGGAGTCCCTTCTCTATTCAGCACCCCAACAGCCATATCCAACAGTATCTCTATCACTTTAGCCTGACAGCTGGCTTTCTTAAATAATTCCATGGTCTAACCCAAAATGCAAACTTCATGACATTTCCCGGTAGTAATTGCTGTCAGGAGGATTAACCTCTGAAAGGGATTACTCCCAATGGCAAAAAAAAGAACTCCCTAAGGCCTAAGCAGTAATTCTAAATCCAAAGGCAGGCCTTTGCTAAAGTCTGCCACCTGGTGGCCAATAGATACTGACCAGCACTCTCTTAGCTTCCAGGATGTGGGGCTCAAGTTTCATCCAGCCCAGAAGTTCTCACCCAAGCTGCCTATTAGAATCAACTGGAGAGGGGATTTTAAAACTTTAAAACCCCAAATGCCTTGTCTGGGCCACACCCCAGACCCACTGAATAAAAACTCCTTGGGGTGGGAGGTAGCCATGCACATTAAATCTCGGGTGAGCTTTTACAACAGACGCCTCCTAGGAATGCACCCTGACCTACTGTATGAGAATCTCCCGGCGTGGGGCCCATGTCAGTGCTGTCTAGATATTTCTCAGGCACTATCTATCCTGCTCAGAACAAGTGGTCTAGTTCAGTGTTCCACACGTCTGCCTGAGAAGACAAACACACGCTCAGTCCGTTCTGATTTATCTTCACAGGGAACTGAGTGAAGCTTGAGAATCTGTACTTTTAAGCAAAAATGAGAATCAAAGAGGCCGAGTGACCTGCCCAAGGTCACAGGGCTGGTGCAGCAGGGCTGGAACTGGAACCCTAGTGTTTTGGTCTCATCCTTAACCACATGCTCGTGGATGCTTACCGCTGCTAGAGGGGAACTCTTTATTTTGGTGAGCTAAAATTCCTAGGGAGAAAAGAGTAAAATGAAGTAAGTGAAGAGGTACCCCAAAGGAGACATCATAGTCTTCGAACGTGTAAGGCTTGTCTGCAAGGTCTTCAAAAAACTCTGCCAAGGAGTCCAGAGTCTCCTCTGCCAGTCTCTCGTAAGTGGCCTCGTCAAGGGAGCTGCGGGGCAACAACAAAACCACCCAAAACATGCACTTACCAAATGCTCCATTTCATTAACACCAAAATACCATGTTTATCTGTTTAGTTTTATGAAATTGATAGAAAATAGCTAACATGTTTAGGGTAAACATTAAACAGCATAAAGGGCTGACAGATAAGTAATAAGCTTTTCCCAAATTGGCAGCCCCCATCCTCCCAGTCAACTGTGATGGCAGTCTCTTCTGTATCCTTCAAAAAATTTTATGTTCTTTTTAATACGCAAATGAAGCACATTTGGCCCTGGCCCAGTAGCTCAGTTGGTTAGAGCTCTGTCCTAATGTGCCAGGTTGCTGGTTCCATCCCTGGTCAGGGTACATAGTGGAAGCAACCAAAGAAAGCATAAAGAAGTGGAACAACAAATCGATGTTTCTCTCTCTCTAAAATCAATCAATAAATTCAAAAAATTAAAAATCAAAACAGACGAGGCACATTGCAGTTCTCACAAATACATCTTGAAAAATTTTTTCGTATTAGCCCATATGGATTTTCATGATATTTTATGTTATTCATTCAACGAGTCCCCTTTAACTGGAGGTTGAGGTTTCCACTGCTTTTATTATTAAAATTTATGTCTGGCAGACCACAAAGTGGGATAAAATATTTGTATTACATACATCTAAAAAGGATTTGTTTTTAGAATAAAAAGAACTGCTACAAATCAATAAGGAAAAAAACCCAATAGAAACATGGGTAAAATACTTGAACAACCTCATTAAAAAAAAAAATGTCCTAATGGCCAATGAATGTATGAAAAGGTGCACAACTTTGTTAATCTTCAGAAAAATAGAAATTAAAAAAAATCACAATTAGATACCTCTAGGATGGTTGAAGTAAAAGAGACAGATAATGTCAAGAGTTTGCCAGGAAGTGAAGCAACCAGAGCGTTCAGATACTGGTTGCTGATGGTCTAGTAAATGCAACAACCACTGGAAAACCGTTAGGCAGTATCTCCTAAAGTTGATGACATTCACATGTCATCAGTTCCAGTGGTGGATGTACACAACAGAAATGCACACCAGACTTCCAGTCAAGATGGCAGCATAGGTAAACACAGCTCAACCACATCAACCACAACCACATCAAAAATACAACTAAATTATAGAACAACCATCACTCAGAACCACCAGAAATCAGGTGGAATGGAAGTCTGACAACTATGGAATTAAAGAAACCACACCCATCCAGACTGGTAGGAGGGGTGGAGACACAGAAGAGGCTGGTCCCGCCCACGTACAGTGAATAAAATTCAGGAGGGATATCTTGGGAGTGAGGAGTCCCTGCCCTACATCCAGGATTCCAGTGACAGGTTGATAAGTCCCCATAATATCTGGCTATAAACACCAGTGGAGACTCAGTGGGTGGAAGAAAATTCTGGAGCGCCAAGCAGTTCCTCTTAAAGAACCCACACACAGACTCATCTATTCAGACTCACTCCCTCTGAGCTCCAGCACAGGAATAGCTGCTTAGAAGGCACCAGTAGCATACAGGGAGGAAGTGAGGGGTCTGGCATTAAGGTGAGAGCTAGGGGGCAGCTTTCTCCCAGACAGAAAGGCCACTGTCCTTTTTCTGAACCCTTCTCCCACAGAGCCACAGAGTTGCCGGTAGGTGCCATATCTGAAACTCCATAAACCTGGCTAACACGGTTTGGCCCACCCTGGAGATACCCTGAGGTTTTGTCCTACCCAAGCTGTTAACAGACTTTTCCATTTGAATGGATGGTTTGGCTCAAGCTTCACAATTTCCTAGGTCCTCTCAAATAAGAAACAGCCATCTCAGTGAACCACCCGTCTCTGTATCTCTTGCTAAGTAGCCCCAGGCATGGCACTAGCAGCAGCCATCTTAGATTGCTTTATAGCCAAGGCAGGGTGGCCTTGAGCAAAACAAAGGTGGGAGCTCACCTTGGCCTGCACCACCTGGAAATGCGGAGCCTGCAAATGCAGAGCCTGCACAGCAGTGGAGAGTTACAGACCATGTCAGAACACTACCACTGTGCCCCTCCACAGCTGATCTTCCACAGAGGATAGAGGTTGGTGGTCAGTGGTCATAGCCAACACTTGCAGCTGATTGGCCTGGGGAACTCCCTCCCACTCATCTGCCAAAGGCAAACAAGGCTCAGCTACAAGAGGAGTGTGTACTCAGCCCACATGAAGGGACACTTTGAATACCCAGTTTGGGTAATAGGGGAGGCTGTGCCTCCAGGACACCTACTACATTAAGCCACACTGCCAACACAGGGAGTCAAAGTAGCTCTACCTAACACATAGAAACAAACAGAGGGAGGTTGTCAAGATGAGGAGACAAAGAAACACGGTCCAAATGAAAGGACAGATCAAAACTCCAGAAAAACAGCTGAATGAAATGGACATAAGCCATCTATCAGATGCAGAATTCTAAACACTTGTTATAAGGATGCTCAAGGAACTTAGTGAGGACCTCAGCAGCATAAAAAAGATCCAGTCAGAAATGAAGGATACACTGAAATAAAAGAACAATGTACAGAGAAATAACAAGAGAGTGGATGAAGCCAAGATTCAAATCAATAATATGGAATATAAGGAAGCAAAAAAAAAACCCCCAACCAATCAGAACAACAAGAAGAAACAACAACCAATCAGAACAACAAGAAGAAAAAAGAATCCAAAAAATGAGGACAGTATAAGCAGCCTCTGGGATAACCTCAAGTTGACCAACATTTGCATCACAGGGGTACCAGAAGAAGATAAAGAGCAAGAAATTGGAAATCTATTTGAAAAAATAATGAAAGAAAACTTCTTCCCTAATTTGGGGAAGGAAATAGACATGAAAGCCCAGGAAGCACAGAGCGTCCCACACAAGGTGGATGCAAAGAGGCCCACTCTAAGACACATCATAATTAAAATGCCAAAGGTTAAAGATAAAGAGAGAATCTTAAAATCAGTAAGAGAATAGAAGTTAGTTACCTACCAAGGAGTTCCCATAAGACTGTCAGCTGATTTCTCAAAAGAAACCTTATAGGCCAGAAGAGACTGGCAAGAAATATTCAAAGTCATGAAAAGCAGGGACCTACAGCCAGGACTGCTCTATCCAGCCAAGCTATCACTGAGAATCAGAGGGCAGACAAAGAGTTTTCCAGACAAGAAAAACTAAAGGAGTTCATCATCACCAAACCATTATTATATGAAATGTTAAAGAGACTTAGTTAAAAGATCAAAACTGTGAACAATAAAATACAAAAAATAAAAATCTATCAACAACTGAATCTAAAAAACAAACTACGCAAAGAAGAAGAAGACAGAACCATGGACACAGAGAGTGGTTTGATGGCTGCCAGATGGCAGGGGGATGTAGGGGTGTAAGGGTCTCATTTAAGAAAAAGAAGATCATACCTGTAAGTGGAATCTAATCAACAAAACAAACAAGAGAGCAAAATGGAACCAGAGATATGGAAATAAAGAACAAACTGACAGTAACCAGAGGGGAGGAGGAGAGGGGTAAGTGGGGAAAGAAGAGGAAGGGTCAAGTCAAGGAACGTGCACAAAGGACCCATGGACAAGAATAATGCGGGGGAGGACTGAACGTGGGAGGCGGGTGTGGGCTGGTCCAGGGAGAGCAATGAGGGAAAAACGGGGACAATTCTAACTGAACAACAATAAAAAATTTTAAAAAATTAAAAATTGAAAAAGAAAAAGATCTAAACTATGAGCAATAAAATGGCAATAAATACATATCTATTAACAGTTAAGTCTAAAAAACAAACTAAGCAAACAAAAGAACAGAGACAGAACCATGGATACGGAGAGCGTTCTGATGGTTGCCAGTGGGAGGGGAGGTGTGGGGAATGGGTGAAGAGGCGAGGGGTGAAGAAGTACAAGTAGGTAGTTACAGAACAGCCATGGGGATGTAAAGTACAGTCTAGGGAATGGAGTAGCCAAAGAACTCATACGCATGACCCAAGGACATGAACATTGGTGGGGGGAATTGCCTGAGGGAGTGGGGGGTGATGGGTGGAGGGGTGCACAGAGGGAAAAATTGGGACAACTGTAACAGCATAAGCAATAAAATATAATTAAATAAAAATAAATGCATACTTAGCAAAAACGGACTCATAGGTATAAGAACAAAGTGATGGTTGCCAGAGAGGCAGGGATGGGGATGGGCAAAATGAGAAGAAAATTAAGAGATACAAACTTCCAGTTATAAAATATGTAAGTTATGGGGACATAATGTACAGCACAGGGTGTACAGTTATAACTCTGTAGGGTGACAGATAGTTATTAGAGGTATGGAGGTGATCATTTGGTAAGGTATATAAATGTCAAATCACTATGTTGTACATCTGAGACGCATATTGTATGTCAACCATACTTTAATTTAAAAAAATGCGTTCCCAGGTTCACCAAAAGCCATGCAGTATATTGGGATATTCACAGCAGAAATACCCTACAGCCCCAAACTGAAAACTGCCCAATGTAATGTACTCATATGCAATAATACAACAGATAAATTGTGGTATATTCACGCAATGGAATAATATATAGCAAAATAAAAATGCTTATTAACAATATGGACAAAATCTCACAAACATAATGGTGACTGAGTGAAGCCACACACAAACATATTTATATTTAATGATATAGTTTATACAAAGTAACACACCAGGCTAAATTAATCCAGCCTATTGGAAATCAGAATGGGAGTTACTCTGGGGCAGGGAGGGGTTATTAAGTCGAAGTGAACAGCAGGCTTGCTTTTAGGGGCTGCTAATTCTATTTCTTGAGCTATTTTTTAGTTATATGCTATGTTCGATCTTTGAAAATATATCAAGCTGTACACTTATGGCTTGGAGACATTCCTATACACTACTTTTCAATTTAAAAGAAGTGCTATAAATCCACAGACACAGAAAGTAGAACAGTGGTCGCCGGGGGCTTGGGGGAGGGAGGAATGGGGAGTGATTATTAAGGTGCATGCTGTTTGTCCTGGGAATGATGAGAATGCTCTGGAGTTAGTGGGGAAAGTCGCACAACCTGGTGAATAGTCTCAGAACCTCAAAATGGTACATTTTAAACAGTTAACTTTATAATGTGTGAATTACAACAATACAAATACTACTCTAACAAATATCCTTGTATGAGCTTTTGTGTCTCTATGCAGATATATGTGTAGGTTACCAGATGTAGGCGATAACTCCATCATCTGAGAGTTTCCAGGACACCTAAAGTAAGGCACCAGTGGCTGCTGGATAATTCATGTGAGGCATAAAGGTCTGCAACACGACCACTGAACACCCAGCCCATCATCTGCCTCAAGCATAAGATGTTGGTGAAGGTTCTGGACCGATTAGGAGATGGTGAGGGGCCTGGCTGGGTGTGCTGCAGAGAACCTGGAGAAGAGGCTGACATGTGTCCTGAGGAGTGTAGAAACCAAAAAACACACCTGACTCAGGTATAAAGTCAAAAGTCAACAGCTCAGCAGGTGCGACCTGACAGCAGCCAGTTTGGCGTAGCAGAAGTGTGCTGTCCTCCTACTCTAGGCAGGACAAAGGTGTGCTTCCCAGAGACCAGAAGTAGGTCCTGAAGAAGAGAACTGGGCCCCATCATGCAGGGGCCCCACTGAACCTAGAGGATCACCTGCAGGGGTGAGGGAACAGCAGCAGAGTCTGTGTGGGGAGGAGCTGGAAATGGTGCCACCAAAGCAAAAACCTAATGAAGGCAGCAGCACACAGAGGGTGGGCGCCCTCCAGGCCCTGTGTTAGCCTGCTGCCTGGGATAACCTGGGAGGCCAACAGCACGCTTACTGAGCCTGTGGTTGTGGAGACAGTTAGAATGCTCCTGTGTATGGGTGGCTCCTTGCTCTCAGTTGGTGCAACATGAAAATGGTGAGCCAGGAGAGAACTGGCACGTCACCCCCTGCAGGGGGATGGAATGACATGAAACACTTGGGGGTTAAAGGCTGCACACAGATGGAAAAGCCAAAGGAGGATGTAAGGCTTCGAACAACACAGGCCTCTCATTAGGCCAAAAAAAGGGGATCCAATCCTCTTCCAGAAATCAGGTTGAGAGAGCTGTGCATGGGGTGAGGATGCAAAAAATAAGGCAGCCTGGGGTTTATATCCACGGAGGAAATTTGGATGTGGATACTGGCCATGGGACTGACTGGGAGTAATGAGATCAGAAGCCTACTAGGTGAGAAAATCCTGTTATCAGAGAAAAATGAGTCTAGCCTACAAGAGCCTAGTGAAACCTTAAAGACATGATAGCCTTTGAAAGCCCAAACTGCTCTTTGCAGCAAGTGGGCTGCAAAGGCTGCCTGCCCCCAAGGAGGACACTGCTTGCCTCCCCTGGGACCAAGGCGGGTAATGGACAAGGAGGAGACTCCCAGGTGGCAGAACTGGGGTTTCCAGAGGAATATGCCCCTCTGCCAGTTGTTTCAGTGCTGACCAGGGAAACTCCATTGCCACCACAGGCCAGGGACACATCTTTTTTCTGAATGGAAGTTGTGGGAGTAGTTAACTTGCCTTGCCCCATCTGTGTGTGTGGCTCTATGGGTGTTTGAGGGTGTCAGAGAAGCCATTCCCAGACGTGAGGGAGAGGACCGTTATGGCACCTGGAAATCTTGGCCTTTGAGGTGAATGAGTGACCACATAGGCTGTGGTTGCAGCCTTAGGGCTGGAGGCAGCATGTGTGACGTGTGGAAAAAGGGGCCGTGCAGGTATCAGTGGCCGAGGGTAGAACAGAGCAGTGCCTAGCAGCTTTCCACCACAACCCGTCGCTTCCTCTTCCAGGGCAGCTACTGGACCACATATCCCAGCTTCCCCTGCAGCCAGACGGGGCCAGGGAACCAAGTCCTTCCCTCTAAAATGTGAGGGACAAGTGCCACTTCCAGGCCTTCCATGCTCTTGTACCTTTCTGTGGAATAGAACCTGGACAGGACAACCTGGCCTTGACCATGCAGAGCACAGTAAAGCACTGGCAGGTGACAGGAAGATGGAGGGAGGCTGGCTCTCTGAATCATTTCACAGAGGCCTGGACTGCCCAGGGACACAAACCATTCCTGGTCTGGGCCGTTACAGTTTGTACCTATTTGCTACAGAAGCTTGGCTTACCCTAACTACTAAGGTATGAAAGAGAATAATAACAAAACTCTGGAAACAACCTACATGTCTACCAATAGGGAATGGGTTCAATAAATTATGGTACAACTATAAAATTGAATACTACTTCATTAAAAATAACATGGTTGACAGTGATGTGGAGAGATGTTAATGAGTGATGCTGCTAAGGAAGAAAACATGTTCTGTAAAAGATAACAGAAGTGTGTGCATGTGTGTATTTGTTGGAGAGAGAGATCTGATGTGGAAGATGTTTATCTTACCCTGGGTTGCCCAAAGTTCCTGTTGTTCTCAAGTTCATCAAACAGACACTCTGCTTTTTGACATTCAGCATCTGGTTGAGGCAATGGAGGCGCAAACTCTAAAAGCCAAAGTTAAGAAGAACATTATGATTTTTCAGTATATTACAGCCCATTAATGAAAGTTAAATATCACCATTTTCTACATTTGAGAGTACCCAGTTAAGAGTTTTCCAGGAGTATTTCTTAGGAATGTTTTCACCTTCTTTTAACGTATTACATGGAATTCTCCCAGTCTCTAAGCCAGTGCTGTCCACTATAGTAGCCACCAGCCACATGCAGCATTTAAATGTAAATGTATTACACTAAAATAAAGTTTAAAAAGTCAGTTTCTTAGTTGCATCAGCCACATTTCAAGTGTCCTGTGGTCTCATTGGCTAGTAACACAGACATAGAACAAACCCATCATCGCAGGAAGTTCTAGGCTGCTAGCACAGGCGACGCTGGGAAGCATCAGTCATACTCCAGCTTTTGACTAAAAACAAGCAACACATAGCAAGAGGCGGCAGTGGGCTGCCGTGCAGATGAGAGGTTCTGCCGGTGGACGTATGTCTGACAGATCTGATTAGTTAACACGATCTGCAGGAGACAATGTGACCTATTGATTTCTTTCAATATATTAACTGCTGAGCGTCCTGACCTACTGACCAGGTGAAGGGACAGAGAAAATAACGGGGGTGGCGGGGGAAGTGAGTGGAGAGCTAGAGAAGGGGACCTCTCAGAGGGATCTACCCCAGTGCACGAGAGTACGGAGGCTGTGAAGGGAAAGAAAAGCTGGAGTGGAGATAGCAAGGGAGGTGAGAGAGGGGTAAGGGCTACAGGGCCTCAGCCGGACTTAATCCTGGGGAGGCACTGAAGGGCTTTAAGAAGTTTGAAATATTATTTACATTCTCCAAAAGTCACTCTGGTTGCCCTTAACGGGTGAGAGGCTATCGGTCTGGGCTCTTGAGCCATCATCAGGGCCAAGGCAAAAGGTACGGGATTGAGAGATGAGTAGAGAAGGAAAAAGGGAGAGGGGGGTGCAGAGCGCAGGCGACAAGTCTAAAAAGGTTGGCCCTGAAGGAGATGTCAGAGCAGCCGAGGTAACCGCAGTTACAGCTACAACACGTGCTAGACAGCGCACTATCGGCTGGCCACTGTTCTCAGTCTTTATAGAAACAAACTCGTTCAGTCCGCAGCGTCGCGCAGTACGCCCGGGAGCGGGAGCGCGTGCGCAGAGCGTCACCGGCAGCGTGGTCGCCCTTCTTCGGCGCGCGCGCGGCCCCGCGGTGCCTGGCGGGTACTCACTGCAGGGCTGGACGCGCCGGCCCAGGCGGTCGCGGAGCGCAGGTCTCCGCGGTCGCTGAGTGGGATGTTTCTCGTCGGCGGTGCGGTCCCAGCTCCGGCGTGGGCCAAGCCGGGGAGCGCAGAGCGGGGTAGGAGGCAGGCAGCCGAGCGGCGTCCGAGCGTCCACATCCTCCCCGCGATCTGCGGCCGCTCCGCCCTCCCGTCCGGGGTCGCCGCAGCGACACCTGGTGGCCGGGAGCCGCTGGTGCCGCTGCTCACCTCGGAGCCCAGGGCCTGCCTCTCTTCAGTGTGTTGTGTGAAACGGTCACAGGTTAGACCTCAGAACTGCCCAGCTTTGCGCTTTTTGTGTGTTTAACAAAAATGGCGAGACCAGTTTGTTCAAAGCACGGATCTCCCTCTTGGGCAACATAGTAATTGAGTAACTAAGGTTCCTGACCGCGGAGACCTTATCCTAGTCACCCATTGCTGCAGAAATTCTATACAGGAAGGATTTGAGAGCGTAGTCTTACTGGGAACTGGCAGGGTTTGTCTTGAAACTGCTTGGTCGCCAGTACAGGTTATAACAATTAAGAATGTGCACACACAATATGGTCTGCCTGGTTTATATCTGGACACTGTTTAAAACACTGAAGAAAGAAATTGAGGAAGACAAAAAACTATTAAAAAACTATAATGTTTTTTGAGCACAGGTCTTTTGAAAAAAATTTTAAAAGATTTTATTTATTATTTTTAGAGAAAAGGAGGGAGAGAGGAAGAGAAACATCAATATATGGATGCCTCTTGTGCGCTCCCTGCTGGGGACCGGGCCTGCAACCCAGACTTGTGTCCTGACTGGGAATCAAATCAGCATCCTTTTGGTTTGCAGGCTCATGCTCCATCCATTGAACCACAACCAGCCAGGGCTGAGTACAGGTCTTTTACCTCCTTGGTTAAATTTATTACTAGGTACTTTCTTTTTCTTATTGTTATAGTAAAGGGGATTTTTTCCTAGTTTCTCTTTCTGATAGTTCATTGTTGCTGTACAAAAACTCCATCAATTTCTGGATATTGTATCTTGTTACAATATCCTGGATATTGTATCTGGACTTTTATCCTGTTACTTTGCCAAATTCACTTATTAGGTGGGGTAGTGTTTTGGGTGGGGATTGTAGGGTATTCTATGTACACGATCATATCATCTGTAAACGACAACAGTTTTACTTCCTCCTTCCCAGTGTGGAGGCCTTTATTTCATTTTTTTCTCCTCTGATCACTGTGGCTAGAACTTCTAGTACTATGTTGAATACGAGTGGTGAAGAACAGACACCCTTGTCTTGTTCCTGATCCTAAAGGAAAAGCTTTTAGTTTTTGCCCATTGATTATGATGTTGGCTGTAGGTCTCTCATATATGGCCTTTATTTTGTTGAGGAATGGTCCCTCTATTCCTACTTTGCTGAGTGTTTTTATCATAAACGGGTGCTGGATTTTATGAAATGCTTTTTCTGCATCTATGGATAGGATCATGTGGCTTTTGTCTTTCCTTTATTCATCTAATGTGTTACATTTATTGATTTGCTAATACTGTATCATCCTTGCATCCCTGGGGTAAATCCCACTTGATCATGGTATATGGTCTTTTTAATGTATTGTTGGATCTGTATTTCCAATATTTTTTTGAGGATTTTATGTTCATCAGAGATATCGGTCTGTAAGTTACTATTTTTGTTGTGTCTACCTGGTTTTGGAATTAGGATGATACTGGCCTCGTGAAAAGAGTTGGGGAGTCTTCCCTCTTCTTGAATTTTTTGGAATAGTCTGAGAAGAATAAGGGTTAGTTTTTCTTTGAATGTTTGGTAAAATTCACTTGTGAAGCCACCTGGTCCAGGGCTTTTGTGTGCTAGGAGGTTTTTGATTACTGCTTCAATTTTGCTAGTTGTTATTGGTTTATTCAGGCTTTCCGCTTCTTCTCAATTCATTTTTGGAAGACTGTATGTTTCTAGAAATTTGTCCATTTCACCCAAGTTGTCCAATTTCTTGGCATATAGTTGTTCATAGTAATTTCTACACTGCTTTGTATTTCCATGGTATTGTATTGGGAAATGCCCTGCCTGGTTTCAGGAGCTGTAACCCCCTCTCCCCCCATGGCTAAGGCTGAGGGAGTGACCTTCAGACCATAAGCCACTAAGGAGACAAAGCTTATTTCCCTGGCAGGAGCTCTGCTTCTGCTCCTTTTTTCTTCACCCAGTCTGGCCCCCAGTGCTTGATCGGTTAGCCAGTGATGGGTAAAATTCCCCAAGGGGGGAATGACCTAAGACAAGCATGATCATGGGGAGGCCCCATGGAAGGACTTGGGGGGCTACAGCAAAAGGGGGTGATGGACCCTCACCCCTCAGCTTTGACATAGCCTGAGTCCTTATTCGTTTGCAGGAAGTCTCCTAATCTCTTTGCTGCCTCACTTCCCCTGCCTGACTTAAGCCTGAAACAATGCTGGAGGTGGGTGCCATCCTGTGCTGGAAAGGGCGGGTTCCCCAGGGTGATCAGGCCAAAGAAAGACTGTATGAAGTCCTATGAAACCTACTTTGTTAATACCCTCAATTTAAATAATAAGGGACCAAGCAGGAAGTGAGTTTGTTCCCCAAAGTTTTATGGCCATTTAATTATGTGACCCTGACTCAGAATAAGCCCTCAGAGTTCTTTGAATGTTATCTATTGCTTAATAATTTCTGCCTCACAATTAGCTTTATGTATACACCCTGTATTTCTATGCACATTGAATCCAATAAAAGTCTGTCAACTTAAGGGTCAGGGCACTCTCCCCTTGAGAGAGTGGCCACACTGTCCCTTTTCCTCCACGGGACTTGGTGGTCCATGTGAATTTGTCTCATATCTCATCCACAATGTCACGGACCCCACAAGCCGGGATCCATGTCAGTATTGGTCCTTACTTCTATTTCATTTGTTTTATATATTAGAGTCCTTTGTCTTTTTTTTTCCGTGATGAGTTTGGTTAGCAGTTTGTCAATTTTGTTGCTCTTTTAAAAGAACCAGCTCCTGGATTCATTGATCCTTTGAATTTTTTTTTTTTTAAGTCTCTATGTCATGCAATTCTGCTACTTTGAAATAATCAAATAATCTTGATTTTTTTCCCCTGCTTTCTACTCTCTCTGGGCTTTGTTTGTTGTTCTTCTTCTAGTTCTTTTAGATGTAGGGTTAGGCTGTTAGTACATTTGAAAAGAAAATTTTACTTAAGTTGTATGTTGTAAAGGAATAAAAATCATGAAAGTTTTTTTTCACATTTTATATGTGCTTTAGAAAATATCAAATATAGGTAGCATAGAATAGCATTTTTATAGGGAAGGTAGTGGGTGGAGAAAATGGGTAATGACTAAAGTTTTTCCAGAGTCACCTTGTACTTTGTGAATAGTGGAAGGTATAAATATGTAGAACACTAAATTCTAAGTGTTAAATAGGACATAAACTAATGGGTGTCAGCACTGAGTAGGAGAGTATATACAACTAAGATTAGGGGCAATCAAGGAAGTCTTCCTGGAAGAAGTGACATTTGCACAGGGTGTTGAATAATAGGATAGAAGGGGTGGGATCTGACTGGCTATCTGGTAGTCCAGGGCATTCTTTGGATGAGAGACATTCTCCTGCATTTAACTAATTGCAAGTAGTCATTTATCGAGTGCCTGTTATGTGTATGCCAAGCAGGCATGGAGAAACTATTTTCCCCCTGCAGAGTGTCTGAGGATGCTTTGATTGTCACAGCAGTGCTGGGATAGGCAGTGTGTGTGCTTTGGCATCTAGTGGGTAGAGCCCAGGGATGCTGTTAGATATCGGGCTGTGTACAGGACAGCCCCACCATGACAGTGAATTACCCAGCCCAAAATGTCAGTTGTGCCAAGGCTGAGAATCCCTCACCAAAGCCACACCAGAAGAATCCATTGAGGCAAAGGAAAGTGTCTTGGTTGTTGGTTAGGGCCCCAAGCCTGCCACACTGGCAGGAAGGCCCCACCTCACATCCTCAGCACCTCACTATGTAGTTGGAGAATTGCACTTTTATCAGCCAGCATTCTTAGCATGTTCTGGCATAGAAAGGGCCTGGCACATACTCCAACTCCCTGCGAAGTTGGTGTCACCGCTCTATCTTTTCAGCCAAGGAAACAGGTTCAGAGTAGCAGGGCAGAGAGTGTTAAGGCCCAGAATCTGTTCTTCTCCAGATCCTTGGAGGTGGTCAGAGGGAATCAGGCATATCTGCCAAGAAACTGGGGCACATTGAGGGACTCATTAGGTCCCAGCACCTTTCCCTCGCCTAGGCTGCTTCAGCCAAAGGGCAGGTGCTAGGAGGTGGTGGATAGGGCACTCCAATGCCAGTCTGGTTGCGGGTGTGGATTTCTCCCCAAACTCACATCCCCCCCTCTTTGGGCACTTTGATAGGACTTATTCTAGGGCAGTGGTCCTCAAAATGTGTGGACCAGCAGCTTCAGCATCACCCGGGGACATACTAGAGGTGCACATCCGCAGGCCCTCTCCAGATTGACTGGATCAGAAACTGGGGAGTAGGCCAGCACTCTGTGCTTTAACAAGCCCTCCAGGGAAATCTGGCGCATCCTGAAGTTTGAGAACCTCTGCAGTGTGGTACTAAGTTACATCTTGGGCAAAATTGTAAATTGAGCAAATGTGGCCAGGGTGAGTTTTCTAAATATGAAAATCTAAATCTAAAATGTGATTCAAGCCCTGGTTCATGTGGCTCAGCGGACTGAGCGCTGGCCTGTGAACTGAAGGGTCACCAGTTCTATTTCCAGTCAGGGCACAGGCCTGGGTTGCTCTCCGGCTTGCCAGTTGAGGGCATGAGAGAGGCAACTGATTAGTGTAGCTCTCCAACACCGATGTTTCTCTTCCTCTCTGTCTCCCTCCCTTCCCCTCTCTCTAAAAATAAATGAAATCTTTAAAAAATAAAATTCGATTCACACCACAGCACTCCTCTCAGTTCCCTTTCACCACAGTCAAAAACAGTGCTCTTTCACTTCCACTGTGCACCCTATTCTCTAGCTAATCGGAATGTGCCAGTCACGATTAGGTTTTGCAGAGCATACAGAGAACAAGAAAATGATGCTCTAAACAATTTAGAAGTTTGTATCTCTCATATCCAAAGATGTTATGAAATCAGCAGTCCAGGGTTCTTGGGCAGTAAATGTTATCAGCGATTTAGGCTCCTTCTAGCTCATGGCTCTACTAGCTG